TGCAAATTTTCCATTTACAGCACGTCTTAATTCAGACCAACCATTTTCCAAGGGCTTAAGAGCCACATGCGTCTTGAGGCTACCCTCTGGATAGTCCAGGTTGGGACAGTGCAGGACCCTAGCTTTCCATATAATCCTGTAAAGCACAGAAAGCAAAACCTCCTCTTTAAAAATGTATTTCTAGCGGCACCTGGGTGGCTCAGTGGGTTAAAACCTCCGCCTTCGGCTTGGGTTGTGATCCCAGGGTCCTGGGATCGAGCCCCACATTGGGATCTCTGCTCAGCAGGATGCTTGCTTCCTCCTCTCTCTCTCTCTCTCTCTCTGCCTGCCTCTCTACCTACTTGTGATCTCTGCCTGTCAAATAAATAAATAAAATCTTTTTAAAAAATGTATTTCTACTGTAACTATTTATATAACATTTAAGAAATCTAGTCTTCGTTTTACTGATGTTATCCCTAGCACATGTAATAGATGCTTAAATATTTGCTGAACTGAAATTAACTTGGGCCTGCAGCCCAGGGTTATGTTTGGCTGGGTCGCCCCTGTTTTTTTCAGTATGAGAAAAGTGTTTTCTCAGTTTAAAAGAAAGTGGCAAGATCCTGGCTACTTGCCAGGAAGTCCTGCAACTTTTTTTTATAAAGGCCTAATTGCTCCGACATTTTGTTATTCTAATAATGAACATAAATCTTGAAGCCTGGAGTGTCCATAAGGAAAAGCCTGATGTATTTCCTTCTGATGCTGTAATTAAAATGTGTACATTTAATTCTAATTAAGGACCTAGCAGTGAATAAGTAATGCTTTAATTTACATGGTGTACAATGATGTCAGTCCAAATCTTTGAGCTTTCTTTGCAGTTAAAGCAACTGTTTGACTAATACAAAAGGATTATTCTTCTAGTCTGGTGCTTCTCAACTTGGGGTAATTTTGCCCTCCAGGGGACATTTGGCAGGGTCTGAAGATATTTTTTGGTTGTCATGACTGGGAAGAGTGCTGTTGGCTTTTAATGGGTCTCAGAAGCTGCTAAACATCCTGCAGGACACGGGATAACGTCCCACAACAAAGAATCCTCTGGTCTCAAACGTCATTGGTGCCAAGGTTGAGAAATCCTGTTCTGGTCCCAAGTTAGATTCCTTCTCTTCCTTCTTCCTGTGTTTTCCACCATAAAAACAATTAAAATCATTAAGAAGTTCCTTGTTCCATTTCCCAGAGCAATCAGTATTAGCAATTTGTTTTTCATTCTTTTAATTGTTGTCTTTATGACTTTAATCAAAGTGGTTCTCAATCCTGAAATAAAATCTTTTCTTAAAAAAGAAAAAAGGGGGGGCACCTGGGTGGCTCAGTCAGATAAGCATTTGCCTTCAGCTTAGGCCATGATCTCAGGGCTTTTTAAAAATACAGAAGTCCAGGGATGCCTGGGTGGCTCAGTCAGTTGGGTGTCCTGCTGCTTGGTTTTGTCTCCAGTTGTGGTTTCTGGGTGGTGGGATTGAGCCCTGTGTCGGGCCGTGTGCTCTGCATAGATTCTGCTTGTGTCTCTCCCTCCCCACGACCACCACCCCCTCCCCCTGCTTCTACTCTCTCTCTCTCTCTCTCTCTCTCTCTAAAATAAATAAATAAATAATAAATAAATAAATAAATAAATAAAATCTTTTAAAAAATTATATAGCAATCCAAGCTACAGCCCAAGATTCTGATTTAATTCATCTGGGGTGGTTTATATATTTAAAGCTTCTAGATCATTCTAACATGCAGGCAGAGTTGAAAACCCCTGATATACATACTTTTTTGTTTTTGATTTATCATCTTAGGTAATTTTTGTTTCTCCATTAGAAAAGCTGAGAGCGATTCAATACTCTGCCTTCATCCCTCTCCTTTTTCTTTCTCCAAATTGTAGCTATTCCATTGTTTTCACATATTTCAGTTTTATATATGTTTATGCCCTTATAGTCTATGTTTTGTATATGGATTAATTACAAAAATTTAAAACTTTTCACCAGTATTTACAATTACCTGGCTATGTAAATGTGTAAATCTCCGTTTTCATGGGCCTTGCTATCTACTGACTAATGCTGGTCTGAGTTTTGTTCCTTTGTAAGTAACTTGTTTTTTCTTACTAGAAACTTTCAGGACTCTCTCTTTTCCCTTGGAGTTCTGAAATTTCACTTGTATGTGCCCGAGCATCCAGTGGGTTCTTTCAGATGAAGACTCATAACTCTCCACTCTAGGAAATTTGTTTCCTATTTAATTTTTTTCCCTTCTCTTGTCTTTTTTTCTTTTTCTTTTGTCCTTCTGAAACTCCTACTAAATGAATGTTGAACTTCTTTGTCTTTACCCATACCTTTTAATTTGTCTCATATTTCCTAGCTTTGTCTTTTTACTCTATCCCTCTCAAGAATATCCCCAGATTTATGTTCTCACTCACCAACTTAGTCTTTCAGCCATGCTCATTTTGTAATTCTGGATGTCCATTACTTTTCCTTATTTCAATGTAGTATTTGAACTTCTCAGAACATTTTCTTACTCAAATTCCTCTTTTTCTCCCCACAATAGCCAGTGTTTATTTTATGGATACAGTGTATTTTCTTTCTTTTTCTTTTTTGGTGGGAAAGAAGAGGGAGAATAACAATTAGAAATTTTACATTAGTTTCTGTTACCTGAATAATCTCTGTTCTCTCTATGGCATATTGTCCATTTGGCTAACTTGACTTTTCTCTTCCATGAGGTTGGTTTTCCTACTTTGTCTGGCAATCACTGGTTGCCAGACTTGCAGAGAATGAGGTGGTATTGTGTAAACCTGGATCATTTCCTCAAAGTTGTGTTGATCTGTTTCACCAATAGACCTCTTCCTTAAAAGGGAAGCCCTTTCTGTTTCCTATTTGTTGCCATCCAACAGGCTATGTATTTTATTAATTTATCAACTGCCTTCTTAGGACAGAGATTTTTGTTTTCTATGCTGCTGACACATTGTAGTAGCCCAATAAATAGTCTTTTGTGAATGAATGAATGAATGAATGAATGAATGCTTTTGTAAGCAGGCAGGTGGATTCACTGGCAGCGCCCTCTGAAGAGTGAGGAGCTGACAGATGGCTGGGAGTATCCCACAAGTCACAGCTAGGAGGGCTTCACTCTGGGAGGGGTTCATTCCTGCACATGACTGCCTCTCCTCTCCATTTCTCCCACATAGTATCTGATGGGAGGTGTGAAGGTGCCTCTGTTTCTGCACACCTTCCATCTCAGGTCCTAGCCTCACAAGAGGCTCTTCCTGGGAAGGTTTTCATTGACAGTGGTGCTGGCAGGTGTATCTTTTCCAGGAAGATGCAGGGAGGATGTGCTTTCCATCTGCTCTAGCTGTTCCAGCCTGTTCTTTTTTAAAGATTTTTTTTTTTTTGGACAGGGAGAGAGGGATCACAAGTAGGCAGAGAGGCAGGCAGAGAGAGAGGAAGGGAAGCAGGCTCCCCACTGAGCAGAGAGCCCGATGTGGGGCTTGATCCCAGGACCCGATATCATGACCTGAGCTGAAGGCAGAGGCTTAACCCACTGAGGCACCCAGCTGCCCCCAGTCCATTCTTTTTTTTTTTTTTTAAGATATTATTTATTTATTTGACAGGGAGAGAGAGAGATCACAAGCAGGCAGAGAGAGAGGAGGAAGCAGGATCCCCGCTGAGCAGAGAGCCCGATGCGGGTCTCGATCCCAGGACCCTGGGATCATGACCTGAGCTGAAGGCAGAGGCTTTAACCCACTGAGCCACCCAGGTGCCCCGCCCCCAGTCCATTCTTAAGACAGTTCTTTAATGAGATGCCCTGGTCGGGACTTCTGGTGTCTCAGGCAACAGCTTTTTTGGTGGTCATTTCTCCACCAGTCTGTCTTTTTTCTGTGTTTCAGCAATTCTTCAAGGTAGTGGCCCTCTGTTTTTTGTTTTTCTTGCACTGTGAGAGTTCGGTCACTTAAAAATGGTATCTTTTCTGCATGCCTGTGGCAAACTTTGGGTGAAAGGAGAACAGGCAGGTGCATATATATCTCTTGGTTTGAACTAGAAGTGTCCAGTGGATTTGCCACTCTGAATGGTAATTATATTCCAAAAGTTATTTTCGAGGAATTCTAATTTATAGATGACCTGAAATAATATGACTAAACCAGTAGTGCCACATGCTAGTCAACAATAAAGTGTTCTAGTCAACAGTAAAATAATTCTGAGATCAGGTCCTTTCTACATTTCTTCTAATGTTTAAATGTCTTTTTCTCAGGGTGCCTGGGTGGCTCAGTGGGTTAAGCCTCTGCCTTCGGCTCAGGTCATGATCTCAGGGTCCTGGGTTGGAGCCCTGTCGGGCTCTCTGTTCGGCAGGGAGCTTCCCCCTCTCTCTGCCTGCTGCTCTGCCTACTTATGATTTCTCTCTCTGCCAAATAAATAAATAAAATCTTTAAAAATAAATAAATAAGTGTCTTTTTCTCAAAAAACAAAAAAGGCAAAAAACAGAACTCCCCCCCCCACACACACACACAGAAAACAAACTGATAATGATAATAGATCGTAGTGGGATTTTACTTAATGTTCTAACCCAACAAAGGTAAACACTTTGTAATCCTTTCTTTAAATTTAATTTAATTTATTTATTTATTTGTCAGAGAGAGAGAGAGCACAAGGAGGCAGAGTGGCAGGCAGAGGCAGAGAGAGAAGCAGGCTCCCCACTGAGCAAGGAGCCCAATGCGAAACTCCATCCCAGGACCCTGGGATCATGACCTGAGCCAAAGGCAGCCACTTAAACAACTGAGCCACTCAGGCATCCCAACACTTTGTAATCCTATGTCAGGATTTTTTGTTTTTTGTTTTTGCTTTGCAGGTATACAAAATTCATAAGTCTGGGCTGCTTAACTGAATTATTCTTAGTTTGATTTAACTAAGTTTTTCTTTAAGTGTATAAAAAACTTCTGTGTTTAATTTGGGGCTGGGGAGTTCAGTAAATCAATTTTTAGAAGCATTAATGGTTACTTTTTGCATAATAAGGCTTTTGCAGATATGCTGAAAGTGAATAAGACCTTGAAAAGCCTCAACATCGAATCCAATTTCATCACTGGGACTGGGATCCTGGCCCTGGTGGAGGCATTGAGAGAGAATGACACCCTGACCGAGATCAAGATCGACAACCAGGTATGACTCACAGGGTGCATGTGAACTGGGGAGCCACACGGCAGTGAGTTCAAAGTCAAATTCTGTGACTCAATTTGATGTTCTGGCTTTCCTGTAAGTTACAACATCTGGGGTCCTGTGGAGTGTGTGTGAGAGCGCATGTCAGTAACAAAATATGACATTCGGTAAGACAGAAAGGGCCAGCTCTCCCCCAGTCCTTGGCTAGTCAGACACCAGGGGAGACAGGAGGTGGGGCCAGAAGTGTTGACAGCCATCACCACCCTTGCCTCCCACCAGGAATCTCAGCCAGTCCTGTTCCAGCCTTGCTGTTGCATCTCACTGGGGCTGTGGCAGATTGGCCATACCCAGAAACAGACTTCTTGCTCTCAGTTGGAGGTTGCCAGAGCTGGGGGGGAAAAAAAACAACAAAAAACGAGCAGACCTGGACTCCTGAAGTTTGGGGCTGGCTGTTGAGCCTGTTTGGAGGAATCCAGGTTCTAGAAGATGGTCTGGCTTAGAGGAGCAGGCCACACCCACAGTGCAGTCACAGTCTCAGCTCTGTTGCTGTGTCTCTTAGGTTCCCATCAACAGCCAAAGCAAGCTGCTTGTCCCTACGGCCACATCCTCCCAGATCCCGAAGACCTTTTCCCAGCATCCACCTGCCATGTTTCTACTTGCTCTGCAGCCTTCAACTGGCTCCTGCTGTTGGACAGCAATTCTCAATTCTCAGCACCATGCTGTGCCCTGCCCCTTTCCATACAGGGAACTGTCTGCCATGAGACTCAGTGATTCTGAAAGGCCTAGGCACTGTTTAGTGGGAAGAAAGGACCCTGCAATGAAACAGTTCTCCTATGGAGTGGTGGCAGGGACCGTGGGGGGAGCACTTGCTGAGAGTGCCCCCTGCATGTCTGGAAATTCCCCAGTCTAACAGCTGATAGAGCTCCAGGATTGTACCCAGGACTTATTCCTTAAGTCTGGAAACCCCCCATGAATAGGTCCCATGAATAACTCTACTTCCCTTTTTTTGGCTAATGAGGACTTGTGGGCTGCTGCAGTGCAGTCTTCCTCCCCTCCACTCCTCCAGAGGCTTGCTGCTGGGGGACCAGGGGAACATACAGAAGACAGGCACTCCTTTCCTCTCACCCTCCCCAGAAGGGATGCATCCCTAAAGCAGCTTTCCCAAAGGACGATATGTGAAGGGGGTATGCACACCCAGCCATACACCCTCAGGAAGCTCGAAGCCGTTATCCTGGTGTGTGTCCAGCTGCTAGTACATTTAAGAAGAGGATTTGTCAGGGAGTGAGAGACTGGGGAAATGAGCCAGAGAGAAATATGAACTGAGAGAAAAGCAGGGATAGCTCAGGAATATTTACCAAATGAACTAGTATTAGGAAGAAGTGAAATGAGCTCTTAAAATATTATTTCCAGGACATCTACGACAGAGGTGGATATGTGTATTTAACTTCTTATGTTGGTTTAGGTCATTATGAAACCCCATATCTGACCTAATGTTCCAGATACTGTGTTCCTGATTTCTTGTAAGATACCACCTGGTTAAGATGGCCATTTAAAATATAGTTAAATTTGAATTTCAGATAAATGACAAATGATTATTAGTATAAGTATGTACCATGGAATATTTGGGACACACTATACTAAAAAAAAAAAAAAATATATATATATATATATATATATATATATATATATATCTTTTTATTTATTGAAATTATTTGTTATTATTAATCAAAATTCAGGTTTAACTAACTGTTCTGTATTTTTATTTGCTAAACCTGGCAACCTGACATCTGATGAATGAGATGGAATCCCAAACATTGAGAATAGAGAAGCTTTTCATAATGCATGTGAAGATGATCCTGAAATACAAAGCCTGAATTTGCTGTCTTAAATCTCCTTACATCAACCTTATCACCCTTCTTCAGTCCTCTGGGATGGAAGCATGTCACTTTTCCACTTTATTCCCCAATATGCCTCTGAAATAGCTTCTTTGCATTTGTGATGAGGATTGAGACTTTCTAGAGAAACTGGAAAAATTCTTTGCTTTATTCCAAGAAAGAGGAAATTCAGAGTCAGAACTTGATTTCCATCCAAATTTTGTTTATTGACTCATAGGCTATTAGAAGTAGACCTCAGTTTCCTCATCTGTGTAATGAAGGGTTTGAAATAAAATAATCTGTAAGACCGTTTGGTCTCAGCAGCTCAGACCAATTTAGCATCCTTTGGAGTGGGCAGCTGCCCCGAAATGATGGCCTGCTGAGAACCCGTCATTGGGGCAGGCTGCCGTGGCTAGGCTCCAGGTAAATAGGTAATGATTTAATCAGATGCTCCATGTGAGAGGAACAATCGGTGACGCATATTAATGAAACAGATGGGTAACTGCTAAATAAATTTGAGTAAACAAAAAAGGTCATTTGAAAAAAAAAAAGAAGAAATGTATGTTTAAACTTTTATTTCCCTTCTCCTTTGTATTTAATGACTTATAAAGAGGAAACAAACAAATTATAAGAAATTTAGACCTCCATTTGTTGCCCTGGGTTTATATAACACAAAAGACCTCAAATAAAAAGACTCAGGCTGAGAAAGAAGGATGCCCTATGTTACATTACTTTCTCCCCTCCATTTTCAGCCCCTCCCCAGTATGCTTTTCTGCAGCTCCTACATCCCTTATATAGCCAGCAGCAAACCCATCCTGCATGTTACCCAAGCACAGGACTCCCAAGGCGTGAGAATTGTGAGGGGTAGTAAAGGGACTTTTATGTCATGCCTCCCCATCAGCCACATCCAGCATGAGCTCCTTCTGCCCTTGGATAGCACTACTTGGCTCAATTCAGGGGCATAGGACATAGCTAAGGGGGCCCCAACCATAGCTCAGGTCTCAATCTTTAGCACAGCCCACTATTCTAAAGCATGTTGTGAGCTAAAGTTGTTCATGGAACTATGAGGTCAGGATCCCTTTTTTGCTGCCTCTCCCTCCTATTAGCCTGGAATGCTAAGCTCTAAACTGGATACCCAGAGTTGTTATTGTCTGACTGGAAATACCACATTTTGTTAATTTCTTGGGGGAGAGACTGGTTTGACAGGTTGCTGGGTGAAAAGAAAGAAAAGGAGCAAAGGATTAAACCTTTGGACTCACCTAGAACACAAAAGTTTTTCCCTAAACTTTTCTCCTTCATCTACTCAATACTTAAATTTTCCAAATTTAAAAGGTATATTTTAAAATATAATAAAAATATAACAAACAATCAAAACTGCAGGATCCTGGGGTGCCTGGGTGGCTCAGTGGGTTAAAGCCTCGGCCTTCAGCTCAGGTCTTGATCCCAGGGTCCTGGGATCGAGCCGCGCATCGGGCTCTCTGCTCAGCAGGGAGCCTGCTTCCTCCTCTCTCTCTGCCTACTTGTGATCTCTGTCTGTCAAATAAATAAATAAAATCTTAAAAAAAAAAAATTAAACTGCAGGATCCTGGCACAGAAATAGACTTGGCAGAACAGTGGATTCCAGAAACACATCCAAGTACACCTGAGAATTTTGTATCGAAGTTCCTGTGAGGAAAGGATAAAGTAGAAGATAGTGGGACAATTTCATTAGCATTTTCAAACAAGATTAAGTTGGGGCTCTATCTTGACTCTTATACTTAAATTCATTCCAGATGAAATGAAGATTTAAATATGAAAATATGTGGAATCATAAAATGTAAGAAGTTAGAAGGTTTTCTGATAGAAGAGATCAAAAGAGCCTTCCTAAACATGATGTAAAATCTAGGAGATTGATACAAATTTAGCCATATGAAATGAAGAGAATCAAAAAGAAAGTCAAAAGACAAACTTAACAACACATTTGACAGAAGGGTAATTTCCTAATATATAAGAAACTTACAAATTAATAACAAGAAAAAAGGAACCACAGGCTGGTAAAAAAAGAAAATACACAAATGACAGAGATTGGTATTTTCTTATTTATTTATTTATTTATTTGACAGACGGAGATCACAAGTAGGCAGAGAGGCAGGCAGAGAGGCAGGCAGAGAGAGAGGGGGAAGCAGGCTCCCCACTGAGCAAAGAGCCCCATGCGGGACTCGATCCCAGGACCCTGAGATCATGACCTGAGCTGAAGGCAGAGGCTTAGTCCACTAAGCCACCCAGGCGCCCAAGATTGGTATTTTCAAAAAAGAAATACAGATGCATAAGAAAAGTAATTGTTCTTATTCATAATTTGAGAAATGCAAATTAAGGCAATTAAATAAATACAAGTGAAATACAAATCTTCACCTGTTAGATTGACAGAGGGGGAAAAGATTGATAATATCCCGTGTTGGCCAGCGTGGGGAAAATAGTAAATCTGAAACACTGTTAGTAGGAGTAAAAAACTGTCATACTTTTGAGGGTAAGTGAGTATCAAAATTTGAAACATGTTTACTCTTGGGCCCAGCCCTAATTTGCCTTACAGGCACACTTGCAGAAATGTCCTAGGATATACTACATGTGCAAGGGAAATTCACTGCAGCATTGTTTGGAATAGTAGAAATGGCAAGCAGAAATGGAAAAATAAAAATATGTTTCAGAACAAAATGCTCATATAATCCATTTATATGAAAAAGCATACATGTACATATTAGGCAGACATATGAATGCATAGAAAATGTCTTTAAATACATACTATATGCCAAACTGGCTTTCTCTATGGGGAGTGGAAATACTGGGGGAAGGGAGCTTTTGTATTTTATACACTTCTTGTGTGCTTTTTCTAAGTAAGCCTATACTTTTTAATTTAAAAATTTTTAATAAATATATTATGGAAATTTTTTGAATTTTAATTTTTGTTAACTTTTTATTTTAAATTCCTATATTTGTATGCCCCTGGGTTTTCTTTTTAATTCTAATTGTTTTTTTCTTCTATATCTCAACTTCCAAAAAAAAAAAAACCAAACCAACCAAGAAACCTCTTTTCACCAACTTAAAAAACTTGGGGATTTATCTACAGCCCAATAACCCCTTCAGTGTTTGTTAATTCCGGTGGCTATGGTTCAAACCACAATGAAGTTTCTTCAGGAACTCCCACTGAGACGCTGGTGAGAAAGAATGGCCAGCTGGTTGATGACCTTTAATTATTTTTGGAAATGGATTCCAGAATAGAAATTTTAGTAATTGGATTGGTTGCTGTAAGACAGTTTCAACTACTTAAAAACACTCTTTGTTTTTAAAAAAGAAAAAAAAACAACTTTGTTTAAACTGTAGACACTGGGGTAAATTGGAAACACTGAATATTTCGTTTTGCTTTAATTTTACATGTGGAATCATTTTTTCCCTCATAAATAATTTGCTTAGTCTTTTCAGTTCAGCATGCCAGCAGATTTGGCTGTCTGTTGGATTTTGTTTCTAGACAAGGAGCAGGTCTCAAGTGACTGTATGGGAGAAAATATCTCCAGTGACTTTATTCCTGTCCATGTGAGACTTTTGCCCCTTTCCCTTTTTGTCCAGCAAGTAGCTTTGCATCTCTCCCATGCAAGTAACTGTTTCCTCTTTCTTCCTGATCGTCCTGTGTCTGTTCCGCACCTGTAACCAGAGGCAGCAGTTGGGAACGGCTGTGGAGATGGAAATTGCCCAGATGCTCGAGGAGAATTCAAGGATCCTCAAGTTTGGATATCAGTTTACCAAGCAAGGGCCTCGAACAAGGGTGGCAGCCGCCATCACAAAGAATAATGACCTGGGTAATGCAGCCCTAATGTGTGCTGTTAGCAATTAGAAGAGCAGGATGATGGTTTATTTCTCCACTTCAGATACGGTATCTCACAGACCTCATTCCACTGGCCTTTCCTGTCAGCCCTGGATCAAAGGCACATTGTTACGTTATTGTAGGAATTCTCATGAATTTCACAGTGTTTCGGTTTTATTGTAACATTCTCTCAAGAAGAACTGTTTGTTCTTTTTTTCCAGACAGCCTTTGATTTTTGCTTGGTTTTCTTTATGTATTTGGTTCTCCTTTCTTACACGTATTACCCTATGTTGTTATCTGCACCAGACGATGGATACAGTGACATGGAGTTTCCCAGTTCACTTATGTTTGACCCCTGACTCTGCTCTTGCACTTGGGTTTAAATACAGTTATGTCTGATACTTTGGTGATTTCCACGTGAAATAAACTAGTGGAGCTATGTTATAAAGGTTAAACTTAGAAGTAGCTTTTTCAGGTAGCCCCTCATTAATTTTTCCTGATCCTTATTCTTTGCTGAGGATCCTTGACATTTCTTCTGTTAGGATGAGAGGAGGCATATCCTGGTCAACCGCAGCACAGAAGACTGGGACAGACTGGGAAGGCTTGTGCTGGGCACAGCTCAGTCACCTGAAGCAGCATGGCAAAAGGACATTCAGGAGCAGACAGTCACTTGGCAAGCAGCCAGCCAACAGCAGAACTCTGTCCCCAGTTTGAGGTTCAGGGACAGATGCTAGCCCTTGAACATGAGAACTGGGCACAGTGTTCTACCAAGAAGCGTGCTGGCCACAGGGAGGATTTGGGTTGTAGACCAGACAGAAACCAGGAGCTGGAACCAGAAGGGGCAGGTAAAGATAAATGCACATCTCCCTGCCCAGGCATCCTCAGCCAAGATGCTGAGCCCCGGGCGAGGTAGGTTGTGTGGCCTCTAGAGGCTGGCCAGGCATATGGCAGTTCTTCCTGTGGGGAATGAGGCGAGGGGGGAGGCCCCGCAAATAGGGTTTTGGGGAAGGATAGAGAGGCAGTCAGAAGACAACTAGGAGAATGGTAGGGAGTCCGCAGCTGAACAACATGGGGACCAAAAAGAAACAGGCAAAAGAAGAGGCTGGAAGTAAATGGAAAAACGATCATGAGCCCAGGGGTGGCGGTGGTGGGCAATAGCTTTTGTCTCATTTTCTGTGGGCTGGGCTATTTAAAGTGGAGAGTTAGAGCAGGACCGCAGCCAGGGCACCTTTTCTGCGAAATCGAGGAAGGTTACAGTAACCCTTTTCTGACCCACCAGACAGGCCCGCAGGTGGAAAGGTGAAAGGGGGACATGGGTTGCAGAAACTGGGAATGGGCCATTGGGGAACCCTGATCTCTGAGTTTGCCTGCCATCTGAATCATCCCTTCCTTGGAAGCTGATACTTGGGGGGTTTTATTAAAATGGGTTTAGAAACTTGGAACATTGTTTGCAGCTCCTCCTGGTTGTCAGGCCGTAAGCAGCATTCATAGATTATAAATGTGTCGTCCTGGGGAGTTAAAGGCAGCTGGAGGTCAGATTGCACAGAGGCTGAGCTGTGCTGTGGATAAGTGACCATGGAAATACTCACAAGTTCACTGTTTCATGGGTCTATTCCGGACCTGCTACTCCGTAGAAATTTCTAACACTCAAGTTCCCAAATATCAGACATGACTTTATTTAAAATGTAAATTCCACAAGACACTAGGTAGTGAAGTAATTTCCATTTATATCATGTAGTGGGTAATTGAATATTGAAATTTAAGAAAACCATATCCTTAAACAGGTGGGATTACTGTTAGTGTGATTAATGTTGTTGGTCTGGAATTGAAGGACCATTCCTTCAATTTACCTTTTCTTTTTCCTGTCTTTATTTCTCACCTAGTTCGTAAAAAGCGAGTTGAAGGAGACCGAAGGTAAACTTCTGCAAGAGAAGGCAGAGTTGTACCATGGTGGCCATTGAAAAAGAAGCAAGCAAAAACTCTTCTCCTTCCCCGTCAGGACCATTTTACCCAAGGTTGTGCATTTCCGTTAACCACCCAGCTAATCATGTAATTGTTGTTCTTTTTTAGCACTACTTATTTATCTTGGATTTTTTAATATATACAGTTGTCTCATTTGCTCACGGGCACCTCTGGCCACTCATACCAGTGGACCTCAGCAGACCTAAGTGGGTAACAGCAATTGGAAATTACTTCACCACTTTCATATTGGGTTGTCTGGCTTTCTTATGTGAATTTTTTTTTTTTAAATCACTGAAAGGAATTTAGTATATACATGTATTTATAACTGATTACGATAGAGGCCTATCTCTGTTTACATGCATAGCTTTGAGTTAGGCTGAATACATCAGAAGTACTCTTCTGACCACATAAGAAGTTAGTATTGCCAATCTTTCACTGGATGAGAAAATGTGACTAACTTGGCACAAATTCTCCCCTACTTCCAGAAAAATCACTAAATGCACATGCCCCACTGTTTGAAGATCAGTGGAATCATCTTCCTGAAAGCAAGGCAGCATTATGATACTTTTAATACAACATCAGCAAATAAGTCTGAAATAGTAACCCATGAACGGTCTTCAAGGCAGACTTACAGGCAGCAAAATTAATCAGCACACCTACTTTTATTGATGATTCAACACAAATTCGATCTTTAACATGACTCTAATAGATAACTTTCTACAAAGCTGTTTTAAACTTTTCCAGACGTGATGGGAAATTTTTAAATTTTAGAAACAGGGCGGCTTTTAAAACAGTACATTCCTCAATAAAACAAAAATAATTGCACCTTAGTCAGAATTGTCTGATACATATGACTGAGTCATTTTGGCAAAATTTAAAAACATTTATTGCTTTGCCTTTAGTGTGACGAGATCACAGAATGAAATGTGAATGTTCCCGTTATGTATACAGACATTTGTCCATACAGCATGCTTTATCCAGACGTTTGCAGACATCAGGGGTTAAAATGGGAATGATCACTTCTCCAGATGTTTGTCATCTCAAGGACAAAGCCTGTGAATGTACAGCTGAGATGATTGTGTGGTTGTGTGCAGTAGCTTCTCATCTAGCATTGCAAGAGTATGATGCTCAACTAAGGAAACTCAGGACTTCAGCCTTTGGCTCAAGCTCCCAGGCCTCTGATGGCAGACGGTGCTTGAGGCTGTCGTTGGTGGCACTCGGACCCTGCGTCAGGCACCTCGGCTTCTCTCCCTTCTTCTCTCTTCTCCCCGCGCTTCCTTCCAACTCTTTCTCTTTTCCCTTTTGTCTGAAATCCTGAGCCTTGTAAAGGCGACCTCCCTCCACCTGGAGCTAAAGAGAGTGCTGACTCAGAAGAAGATGGGCCCAAGTCCAAAAGTGTTCAGTGACTGAGCGTTCCTGAGTTGCTCGATAGTAGTAAGACAAGCTAATGGGAAAACATTGCGTGTATTATTCCAGTTAGCTTGTAAAACGTATGGAATCTGGCTAGGAGGGAGAGCCTTCATGACATTGGCTGTTTTATCTGATTTGTAAGAACTCACATCTCTAAAATCCTTTGAGACATCTCATTTTCTTGACAATATTTGATATTTTTTTGAGGGAATAATGAGCAGAATATGTTGATAGATTTTTGAATCCTCAAATCCTTTAGCTTTTGACTATATCTCTCTCTATAAAAGACATAGTAAATACCTTTGGGTGGTTTTCAATTTGATTTTTCCTTCCCTATTCATATAGGTGTGGTATATTGGAGCCAACTCATACAGGCTTACCAAGTACTAAATTTTCTTACTTTTTTTAAAGATTTTATTCATCTGTTTGACAGAGACACAGTGAGAGAGGGAACACAAGTAGGGGGAGTGGGAGAGGGAGAAGCAGGCCTCCAGCCAAGCACGGAGCAGGGACCCCAGGCAGGGCTCGACCCCAAGACCCTAGGACAACGATCCGAGCCAAAGGCAGACGCCTAACAACGAGCCACCCAGGCACCCCTCAAGTATTAAATTTTCAAGAATTTTTGCAAATTCATTAAATACAGCCATTATTAAAAATTAAATAGCATGCACTTGAAATTAGTTTGTTTATTTTTAAAACAAAAGTAATACTCAAAACTATCTTTTAGTTTTCTTTACTCTTGAGATTCTTCAGATCTATATTGTGTCTATGTGACAGAAATTATTATCTAATGATGTGCTGTTGTGAATCTCTTCCCAACTAGAAGTTTAGGGTTTCTTGTTGGTTGTTTGAACTTGGCCATGGTGGGAGTACTTTTACTATGAAAATTAGCAAATGTTACAAATCAGATGTTTGCCCCCCTAGGTTGCTGGTTGATAAACATTCATCAGCACACCACAGGGTAGAATGTACACAGTTCCTTTTTTGTGTACACATTTTGGTTACCATGTTGCTATAGGGAAGTACCTTTCTCTTAAGTGTCTTTCTCCTGTCCCTTTAGATTTGTTGCAGATATATTATAAGTGCCAAGTCCCTGACATGCCCTTCAAGGAAGACTTTTTCCTTTCTTTTCTCTTCATTCTCTTTCTTGCCTTCACCTCTACAAAATCCTCTATCCTACAGAGTGTTCCCTGCAGCCCTAAGGACTGGGGGCTAAAGCAGTTCCTGACAAACTCTGGCAGAAAGCAAGAAAAAAAAAGTCAGAATTTGATGGTGACCATGCTGTGGTTGTTGATAGTATTAAAGCAAAATAGTGGGCTATTAACAAATCTTAGTCCTGTTTTTAGCTAGTGAAATAGTTGGGTCACAGGCAATAGAGTTTATAAAATCAAATATTTATTACTAATCAGTTTATCTTTTCATTAATTGTGTTTTTAAAGTAGCTTGAAAGGTGACATTTCCGTAAGTATTCACATATTAAATGTTGGAAAATAAACTTACATTTTGGGGACCCTATAAATCATTGAATTAGCCCAGGACTTCATTTCCCCATTTGCCCAAAGTGTGTAAGTAGAAGCTTTTTCATAATCCTGCACATGATTAACCCCTTACCATCCATCATGGTGGTGCATAAGGTATATAAAATATTTTTATATGTGTGCATTTTGCCAAATACTATGTTTTGAGATATTTGGCAACATCTGGGCAACTGATTGAAGGGAGACCGTCTCTCCCCAGACCACCTCCCTTCCCCTTTGGGGCTTGTACAGGCCCATGCGAGTGTCAGATCACTCATTAGGATATGCGGGCTCCTATCACTGGCACCCATCCCAGCATATGTGGAGGACAACTCTTTAGGAGAGAATTTTGGAAGTCTAGAGATCATATAATTAGTCCAGCACTACAACTCCCCATCTGCCTGAAGCATGTAATGGAAGCTATTTTATCCTCATTAACACAATTACATCCTTTCCTTTCCTCTTGGAAGGGCATAATGTAAATAAATGTGTGTGTGCGTGCGTGCATGTGTGGGTGTGTGGCCAAATACCTAATTATCTAATGAGGTATGTGGCTACATCTGGACCACTGATTGAAGGGAGATGTGCTCTCCCCAGCTCCATTGCCCTTGTCCTTTTTAGCACTGCTGCAGGCCCATGTTCAATGCAGATCACCGCCTGGAGTTGGCAGCTTAGGTCACCAAGCACCAAATTTCACAGCATGTATAGAAGATAACTCTTAGGGAATAATTATTAGAAGCCTGGAAATCATTTTATTGTTCCAGCACCAAACTCTTCATATGCCTAAAGTGTGTAAGTACAAACACATTCATCTTCATCAACGTGATTATTACGCCCCTTCCTTCCATCATGGTAGGGTAGGCTGTATATAAATATTTTGTACATAAAGATCACCAAATACTGTAAGTGGTATTTGGCTAAAGCTGGACGCCACATTGATGGGAGATGCTATCTCCCAGTCCCTCTTCCCTTGCCCTCTTGGAGCTGCTGCGAGCCTAACTTAGAGAATTGCTAGCCTGGAGGGGCACGCGCAGCTCCCCCATCTTAGAACACCAGTTCATCTTACGATAAAAGCCCATCTCCATTTAAAAACTCAGAAATCATCCCAATGCCTATACTCCTCAGCACAATTTCCCTAAGGGAAGCTTGGTACAGCCCACCAAAAGAACACCTGCTTCTCTTCCAGACAGAAAGGTGGCCCCCGGCAGGGCACCAGCATGAGGGAAACCAGTGTGCTCTGAAGAACTACCATGAGAACATTTCAGAAACTCAAACTTGAAACCAGTGTGAAGCTTCAGCATGCTTTCAATGTGGGAGAGGCATTTAAATTTACATAAGAGTTTGTAGATACTTCCTTTTTTCAGAGATAATGATGTACTTAGCCCTCTCCCAGGCAGTGTAAAGCAGACTGAGAAAGTGTAAGAATTCTGGATTAATACAATTTGATATGTGTTTCTGGGTCTTGGGGGTAGAGTGCCTTTTTGCAAAGTGGATACCATCTTTTTAGTTCAAGTTTTGATAGCATCAGTGGAAGCGGGCAGGGGGCAGTAAGTTACAAATACTACATTCTGTGGTATGTTCCCTCTACTGAGTTGGAATTATTTCTAGTGTCAGATTTTGAATCGTGATCCTGAAGCTTCCTTCCTCTCTTCCACTCATGATGCAATAATAGCGGTTTTCATTTTAATGAGCAGAGAACGAAAAAGAAATGTTTTAGCTCTGCCTTCCAGTACCAGGTTCCCCTTACTGCTCCTCACTTCAAATATCCCTGCCATTTACCAGACCCCCCTCAAAGTTCAAGGATTGGGACACAAGGTGTGAGAACGCTTGGCAGCACCAGGCTGAGCCCTCTGGATGAAAGTCACAGGGTTGGGCCCCCCAGGAGCAAGCTTGAGAAAGAAGAGTACCTAGAGCCTCAAGATGGATTTATCGTTTTCTTTCCCCCAACTCTAGATTAGATCAAATTTTGTTTTGTGGTTCAGAAGTTATTAAGTGGAGGGGCTGGGTGAGGTGGGGAGGAAGATGGAAATTGAAGGTCTCCATTTGCTTAAGGGGAGAAGTAAGCTCTGCTCAGCTCACCGCCTTCCTATCTGCCCATAACAGTAATGATTAAACATCCAGGAGATGGGTGGAGAAAGTGCTTCAAAGTTTAAAGTTGCTACCTGGCTCTGGGTACTGTTCTAGGAAGGCCATACACTTAGCAGAAGTCATCCCAGTTTTGTGATGCATCATTGACTTGGGAGAGGATGAAGGAGACTGGACTTTCCTCTGACATCTTCCATGGTAGTCATTTTGAGCACACCGGCTCTGTTAGTTGGTATGGTGGAAGGGCACCATACTAACAGACTCAGAGGCTGACTCCCAATCCCATCACCAACACTTAGCAGGTATATGATCATGGGCAATTCATTCAATTGCCTGACAATTATAGTCTACATAGGGGGAAGAGCACTGGATTTGGAGTCAAGACACCTGGACACTTGGCTCCACACTTTCTTAGCTGGGTGACTTTGTGGCAAGCCACTTAGTCTCTCAAGCCTAAGATTCTTCAGCTATATTATAATGGGAATAATATCTTCACTAACTACCTCACAGATTTGTGGTGAGAAAATAATCAGATAATGGGATGAAAACACTATACTGGAAAGGGCTCTACAGAAGTTGGAGATCATTTTCATCATCTATTCACTAAGGTTTTCCACTGCTTCTTAAATCTGTTTTATTTTTTTTTTCCTTCCAAGCATTGAGTATGAGCAATCACAGCATGGAGATGACATAGGGGACTGGAATTATTTCATTTTTAACACAGAGACAGGAGAGGTATTTGACAGGTGGGTGTTATATACCAGTGATGTGTGTGGTAGAGCGTTTTCCCTGGGTCATCTTGACAGTACCTGGACGTG